CGTCTCCACTATCTAAAAAAAAGAAGATGAAACGTGAATTCTTTCCTTCAGATCCTGAGTTTTGAAATAATCTTTAACATATTTTATTTGACGATTCCATATTTTCTTCTCAAATCATCCACATTTTCTCTTTAATATTACTATTACTTATACTGTTATTAGTTCTACTTCCCTGGCATTTCGCTGTATCGATGTGATGTGGTAAATTAAACCGATGTAAAAGGATTCCAGGTTCAATTTTGCGTATGGCTGGATGATTAAATATTATATATATATATATATATATATATATATATATATATATATATTTCGACTGAAACAAATCTAACAGTTGAAGCTCGATTATTGACAATTAACTTGGAAACTCTTGAAGAAAATAGTCGATGTCTAAACTATTTCAGAGATAATGCATAAAGTATAGCAAACTTAAATACTCACAACTGATTGATCACTGGGTGGTGATCAATGTCATGCGTGTCAAGTCCTTATTTAGTGCAGATCGAATGCTATCGATCATGTTGCAATGTAGCCACCAGTCTAGATGACTCTGACTGTGAAGCTGGGTGACATGAGATCGAATCCGCCAGGGAGCACCAGTTCCCTCAAGATTACAGATACACCTTGCTGACAAGTGCCAAGTAGCACGAAACCCGTGTCCAGGGTTTCCTGTTGACTACCTCCAACTACCATCCGAACCTCAATACTATTCCTCATTCTTATTGCCTTGTTTACCTTATTATAGTCCACAGTCAGAAATAGTTGAAATAGTGATACTCGTTCAGAAAATACTTCAACAGGGGTTTTAATTTGTCACAGTATAGCTGAATGTTAGTACAATTTACGTATGCATGAAAACATGCTAATTTTAATTAGGCTCATAAATAAGACACAATATTGTTTTAATGTAATTCTCTGTTAAATAAAAATTTTTTTCGAACTAAAATCCTTAGCAGAAATGACAATTAGCAATTCACTGATATTCTTTTCAACAAACGCAACTGAACTTACGTTTCAAACTGAACGTTGTAATGAAATATGCTATGTAGCAAATGTCATGCTTAACCCTTATCCATTACTGAGATTTGAAAGTAACACTTCCGACGAAATTGAATCTTAATCTAAACTTTCAATAGTCGAGGTCACGAGCCAATTGAAGCTAGACCACCATGGAAAACCCAGAAGCACTGAATGGGCGTTTGGCCCTATTTTAGGACACATCAGTAGTGCGCATCCACGATCTCATTTCGCCAGATTCGAACCCAGGACCTATCGGTCTCGAGCGCGAACGCTTAACCTCTAGACCACTGAGTTGGCATCCAATAGTGTTAATGTCGAATTTCAACTAATCCACGAAATTGAGGGGTTCCAAAATAGAACGAAACGGCCGTCAAGGGCTTCTAGGATTTCCATGATGGTCTAGCTTCAGTTGGCTCATGATCCCAACCATTGAAATTATTATGATATCCACAAAAACCCTTTCTCATATTAATCTAAACTGCTGATAAATTTAAAGATAAAGCACACATTTGAATGCTATGATATTATTATTTTCAATTAAATTGTAAGAAAACAATTTAGCGATCGCTTACAATTTTTATTCAGTATAATTTTATAGTAGGCCCAGGACAGAGTGGGTTGTAGAATGCTGGTCGGTGGCCTATGCTCCATTAGGAGCAACAGGCGTAAGTAAGTAAGTAAGTATAATTTTATAGTATGACAATATTAATTATTTGAATTATGCTTTGATGTAGACTTACATGAGGAAGTAAATGTAGCATTGCATCACCGGTTAAAGTTCCAACAGCTAATGCAACCAAATATTGAATAACTTGATTGAAAAATACTTTTTGAACTAATGGTACTACACCAACTCCTAATAGTCCAACTGCACTTATGACAAAAATTGAAATTAATGAAGCAATCCAAACTAGAAATATTTAAAAAAGAAGGTCGAGTCTTATCATACTGATTTAACAAATAATAAACAATATTTAATGATAAGGTATTAGGTCTTTCAAGTCTTAGTATCCATGAGAAGTTGGTAGTTAGATCAATGTTCCTATTACTTAGACTTGAGTCGTTTGATGATAAATTGCAGTTGAATGAATAAATAATCATGGATATTTAGTGAATAACTTTGATTTTTTTTTCATACGATTACAAATCTGCTAAGTTAGGTTTACAAAGACTATTTGTTTTAAAAATGTGTTAGTTTAAACAACTGATTGCAAAAACGTGGATAGTGGCTAGCAGTGATATCCACAACATGCGTTTCTTCCTGTTTGGGACTCGTCATATGTATGTATCCGCATTTTTGAGTTGATGTTCACCCTGGGACTCGAACCCAGTATCGTTCATGTCAAATCTCATTGCGTTATTCACTCAGCCACTATCCATCTTTACTTATAAAGCTTGTGACATAAGGCACAGGATGCACATATGCCTATAAGTGACCGATCAATTGCAGTCCAAAATAACAATGGGAATATACAAGTAAACAACACCAAGTAAGCTGATTTGAAATACTAGAAATTAGGATTAGTTTGATCAGTTTCTCACCACTATAGTGCATTTTCTACACATTTATAGAACTTATTAGTTATACTGTTGAGTATGCCAGTTTGCTTCATGACACTTAAAAAGATGTCTGCATGAATCAAATATTTCGAACCTTAAAGGACTATGCATTGAACTATTGATTCATAATAGATATATGGTATTTGAAGAATTTTGCTCTTAAGAGCTATTATGTGTTCATTCTTATTCAATTTTGAATTGAATCGATCAGTATATTTTGATAAAAGTATCTGTGACTACTGTACATGACATTTATTGATATCGATCAAGTTAAAGGAACACTTTATAAATTATCATACAGTAACTATCAGAATGGGCAGTTTGTGGAGATTGTTGAAGTTAGACATTGAAACCGTTGGATACGTATCAGCTCAGTGCTCTAGAGGTTTAGCGTTCGCGTGAGAGCCCGAAGGTCTTGAGTTTAAATCACGAGTATGGGATCGTGTATGGGCGCTGATGAGGACGAAATGGCCGTCCAGTGCTTCCAGGTTTCCCATGGTGGTTTAGTTTTAATCGATTCATGAATACAGAAATTATACAAAATCAATTAGCTAACCTTTTGGTCGAATATTCCAAAAACTATAAGCGTTCAGTATCTGAAAATAATACAGAAAAAATAACTTATTAGAAACTCTTTTCATTACTTGGATGCAAATTCATTTCTTGCAAAATTTTGTATAAACAAGTTAATCAAACCTGGTATCTATATATGTAGATTTCTAGTTTGACTCCGAGGATAGCTTCTTGATGCATAGTTATGGTATTTTGAAAAAGATTATTATATAAAGAAACTATGAGGTTCTTTGAGACTGAGACCTACTAGTTAGTAATTACAACACTATAGTTATCATATTTAAATATTCAATATCTAGAAGCAGTGAATAGTTTTTAGTATTTAAACATTGTCTGTATACTTTTCATGTAGACATTCATCCTCTACTTGGTATTAGTTATGTGATCAAGAAAAGATTTAATAAAAAGTGCTATCAGTTTATTCGAAATAGTCTAACTATCGACATTCTGCAGAACAACGTAAAAGCACCTGGTCAATGTGTATAGTATGAGCAACTGGTGAGGCAATTAATTAAGACATCTTTTGTATTATATTGGAGTATAAATAGTTATGTATGATATCCTCTTGTGTTACAACTCATTGAAGCGCCAGTTTACTTTACGCTAAAAGATTTGATCAAAAAACTGAGGTTTATTTTTCATTTAATATAAGGGCTTACTAGATATAAGTTACTTCTGTCAGTTAAGCCAGCTTCTAATTATAAGACTGACAGGTCTTGGGTTCGAATCTCGCGAGGCGAGATCGTGGATGCATACTACTCAGGAGTCCCATACTAGGATGAAACGGCCGTCCAGTGCTTCCAAGTTTTCCATGGTAGTCTAGCTTCAATTGACTGACAAATTCAATTATTGAATTATAACTGAATGAAAAACAAATCATTTTGCACACACACACACGCGCGCACACGTAAATTAATGTACACCAATATACATGGATGATAATATGACAGTATGAGTTATATATCGAAATCGGCAAT